ATATATATATATATATATATATATATATATATATATATAACTTTTAACGGATTAGAATATGTTACATTTTAATTTTATTGCAATCCAGTCGATTACGGTGAATCATATATTTGTATAATAAGTTTAAATAAAATAATAAAGGAAAAAGTGAGTAAATAATTATATATATATTGAGTTTTGATACAACTAAAAACACGGTGAAAATTTAACATCACGAAATAATATTTGTCGATAAATATTCATTTTGACTATTTTGTAGTAGAAGTAGGAATATATGTAAAATTACATATTTACAATAATTTTTTGAAGGACCAACCCGTAACAGAATTCATTTCATAAAATTTTTTTATTCATAACTCGCTTTATCATTATAATTGTGATTTAACAAACTACCCGTGTACTATATAAATTTCTAATAATTTGATATATAATATATTTTATCAATTAAAATTATATCTCCAAAATTACATTTATGTCTTTAAAAAAATTTTCCATATTTTAAATTCTAAAGTTTTTATATATTTGAACCTCTTAATCATAATATTTTGAAACTTTTAAAAATTTTAAATATGCTCATGTAACAATGGTTTTAATATTGGTCATACTTATAATGGTTTTAAACCATTGTCCAAAATATTTAACCGAATGTAGTTGAGTATTATATGTCCGTTTCGAAAAATTCAAATTGCAACATATGCAAAAAAAAGTTAAATTTTTATTAAATATTTATATTATATAGTATAATATCATAAATTAAATATAAGATCAAATAAAAGTGAAAGAAGAATAATAATTATTTTAATAAATTATATTAAATTAGTTAGAGAAATATTTGGAAATCCTCTAATTAGTTATGGAAATAATACAATCCTAAAATTAGATATGTAAAGTATCCGATGTATGTATCCAAACCCAATTTAATATCCACTTTTGAAGTATCCAATTGTTGAAATCGGGTTAATTTTTTAATTTTGACCCGACCCGTATTCAAATTTGTACTTCTCTTTTACTAATATAGAGATATAGCATGATCCAATTTTTTCAAGTTTTTTTTTGAATAACTAAGAGGTTCTGGGCCGAAGCCCATACATCCTCTCAGACCCAAAACCGGAGCAGGTAATATGTCTCGTTCCAAGCGCTACTCGAACTGACAATCTTTTAGTTTTGCTAGAAATCTTTACCAAATAAGTTATTAGCACTTGGTAAAGTTGGAATTACTAAACAACAAAGAAATAAAAGGCTTACAAGTTCAAACCATTATAAGTGGAATGAAATGGACCAACAAGTCAAGACCTCAATTCTGAAGAACTCTTTAATTATTATCTCTCCCGGCCAACAACAACAACAAAGAGGAAGTCAGTGAGTTCTATGAAACCTTAGCTACGTATATTTACAAACACAAAAAAGAGAGGAAGCTTGAGGTGACAATTTCTTACAAAACCCACCAAGATGAAACCCATTAGAGACACAATATTTGTTGCAACGTGGTAACTTAGCACATTCTCCGGCTACGTATAACCATTCCGTCCGACCACTCTTCCCACCTCGTCCTCTCGCAGTTGCGGTCATAGTCCGACCTTGAGTAGTAGCCACCCCTTCTATACATATCATCACATCAAAAAGATTTTGCAATTATTCTTTTTTTTTTCAAAAAGATCCTAACCGGAAAGAGTATAGTATTTGCCAAGGATCATACAAGCATATTTTTACCTGAAATTAGTAGGACAATGTATACGAAGAGACAGAGGTAAATGAGCTTCACAGCCATGCTTGTCTTAGTCAAGTTCACTCTCTTCACTCTATAATTTTCCTTTGATTGTAATCTTAGTGTTCTTCTAATTATAGCAAAACGCATATTATTTATATTGTTATATATGTGTCGGTACCTACTTTTGTTACCAAATAATTTCGACATGTTGTAGTGCCATACATTATTTTATAAAGCACAGAGCAATACTTAACAAAATATTTATACATTATATTACAAAGCACATAGCAATACTTAACAAAATATATATAAATTTATACAAAGATTTGGGATTCATGAAGATGACTATAGACCCTAGGCTATAGAGTGGTGCCTTTGGGAACACTAATAAACTCAGATAATTATAATTAAAGAAGAGAAGATGGGTTAGTTGAGTGCTGTTTATCTTTGACTATTTCACTCTACCTTTTTATTTTGCACCCAGAGTCAAAAAGTATATAAGGAGACAAAAAAGAAAGAAAAGTAGAAAAAGAAGACAAAAAAAAAGTCTAAAGTAAGAAAAAATGATAAGTTTTTTGGTGTAATTATTGGGTATGTTTGGAACAACTAAATCATTGGAATGCATAACACTTAGCCATTTAACTAAAACCATCCCAAAAAACATTTAATCCGACATAATTACTCAAAATTCATAACATGTTGTCGAAAATTCGAAAAAAAACCCGTGGTGAAAAATAGCTATGTTTTCTTGTAGTAACACTTTATAAAAAGTTATCATTGCTATCTGGTGGATAAATATAAAAACATATAATATAAGCTGATAACAACTATGATTATTGTTAAAATTGCCGCTAAGTTTTACCGTCTCTCCCGGGATTTATGGAATTTTATAGTAAGCACAAATAAACCACTAATTTGCTTTTGAATACCAAAGAGAAGATAAAGAAACCTAAATAGATAAAGAAACCTAAATAAGCTTTCTACCTATTAACTATTTTGGTATAGAACAAGTTTCAAATCCTTAAAATCCATGACACTTTCTTGATCCTTCCTCATTTTCGTGCCTCCCACGTCTCCTTCATTTGTCATAAGTCTTTCACATTTGCTATCAACTTAATTCTCTTACGTTCTTGGGAAAATTCAAAGTAAGAATTTTTCTAACTGTGAACAAGAAAACGATTGAAAGGTCTTGGTACCATGGTTCCATCGTTGGAACGAGGAATAAGCATTTCGAGTTCATTTAATTTTGATAGAATGTTTGATTCCTCTCCGGGACAAGAACAAGAACAACAACAACAACAACAACAACCTCATCTCGTGGAACCAACAACCATGTCGGAAAGTCAAAATCAAGACAGCCTCAAAAGTCCGGTGGAGACTAGCCGCCCGATGACTTCACGTTTGATTTCCCGGAGACGGGACAAACAACAATCCGGTGATTAACAAAAAAATGTTTCGTTAAAGAACTCTAGGGATATAAAGAAAAAAAAAACCTAACAATCTTGTGGGTTTTATATATTTGTAGATACGGAGATGATGAAAGATAGATTCACAAAGTTACTTCTAGGAGAAGATATGTCAGGTGGTGGTAAAGGTGTAGCTTCTGCTTTGGCACTATCAAATGCCATAACAAATCTAGCCGGTAAAAGTAGTTCTTTAGGTTTTATTTTAGTTATCTTCATACACAAGTAACCTAAAATCAATCTTTTGGTTTGGTATAATGTTTTTTTGTGTAGCGTCAATATTTGGGGAACAGACAAAGTTGCAGCCGATGGCACCCGATAGGCGAGCGAGGTGGAAGAAAGAAATCGATTGGTTGTTGTCTGTGACTGATCACATTGTTGAGTTTGTTCCATCTCAACAGATTAGTAAGGATGGAGTCTGCACCGAGGTGATACATTTGCTAAAACTTATAATTAATCATCAATTTCATTTTATCAGTATTAGAGATAACATTATGATTCAATGGCTGTATTTGTAGATTATGGTGACAAGACAAAGAGGTGATCTTCTCATGAACATCCCTGCCCTTCGCAAACTCGATGCAATGCTCATTGTAAGTCCATGTGCCCATGTAATTATATACATGTATGTATGGTATGCAATTTTTATGGAACAATATTGAAACATATTAGGATACATTGGACAATTTTAGAGGACACAATGAGTTTTGGTATGTATCAAGAGATTCTGAAGAAGGGAAAGAAGCAAGGAATGATAGGACAAAGGACAAGTGGTGGCTTCCTCCGGTAAAAGTCCCTTCTGATGGCTTATCCGAATCAGCCCGAAGAATGCTTCATATTCAAAAAGATTCAGTCTCACAAGTCCAAAAAGCCGCCATGGCTATTAATGCACAAGTTCTTTCAGAAATGGCTATCCCTGATAGCTATATAGAGTCTCTTCCAAAGGTGATTATATACTTCTTTTTGTCGTAAAATCGGGTAATATAGTTTGGATTGTTTGCTTGGATTAGTTCTATCTATATACTATTCTAGAAAAATCAATAAATGTGATTGATAAGACTTAGATTATTGCAGAATGGAAGAGTAAGCCTTGGGGATTCGTTATACAAGAGCATAACAGAAGAATGGTTTGATCCAGAGCAGTTCTTGTCAACACTTGACTTGTCTACAGAGCACAAAGTGTTGGATGTGAAGAACAGGATCGAGGCCTCAATTGTTATATGGAAAAGGAAACTTCATCTAAAAGACAACAAATCTTCTTGGGGATCAGCTGTGAGCTTGGAGAAACGAGAGTTGTTCGAAGAGCGAGCCCAAACAATCTTGGTCTTGCTTAAACAAAAGTTCCCTGGTCTTCCTCAATCTTCACTCGACATCTCCAAGATTCAGTATAACAAGGTAATACTATAATTTTTCTTAATATTCAAACATGATTTGACAATATATATAATCATCTAGTAAGAGTTTTTTTATATTAATTGGTGTATTGGATCATTTTTACAAAAATTTGATGTATAAGATTTTGATATAACATTTATGTTTGTGTAAGATAATAGGATATTGTTTTGATTTTTTTGTACCATATATATATTTGCTATTGTTATTATGTGTTCTAACATCTAACTAGAGGATATGTCACATTATGTGTGCTAACTATAGGATGTAGGACACGCGGTTTTGGAGAGCTACTCAAGGATATTAGAGAGCTTGGGGTACACGGAAATGTCGAGAATCGAGGATGTACTTTACGCGGATTCTTTAGCTCGAAAGCAATGTACACCTGAAGAAACATCAGAAATGGACTCAGAGCCGGTTAGAACTTCGAACTACTCCGGAGAGGAAACAGAGAAGCTTGAACCACAATACTCATCATCAAAGACGACATTGCTAGATTTTATCGGTTGGAGCGACAATAGCTCGAAAGGGCAATCAGAGAAACCTCCAAAATCTCCAAAACTAACACCAAAGAAGTTCTCATATTTAGAGAAACTCGAGAACTTGAATGGTTTTAGAAGCCCTAAAGATAGACATTGAAGGTGAATCAAAAAAGACTAATGAACATATGATACAATTGAAGCCATGCATGTATTTTAGGGCAAAAGAACAAAACAAGTAGCAGTTAAAACTACTGTCTTGTCTCCTTTCCGGATCTGTTTCTTGGACAGTGAAGTAAACTAAACTAAGGGGGGTGTATTCAAAGTGACATTTCAAGTGATTTGTAAAAAGTTTACAAATCCACTATTATTCAAACATGAATTTTAAAAAGTCTCATGAAATTCACTGTTATTCAACTAATGATTTCAAAATCCACCTTAAAATCCATTGTTATTGAAAACAATTTGTGGATTTGGCTTTTAATTATTTTGAAGGATTTTAGAGGATTTGGGAGGATTTCCCTAGTTAAAAATTCAGAAATCCAAATCTCATAGTTTTTGGTGAGATTTGAAAGGATTTTACAAAAATCATATGAAATTCTCTAAAATCATCAAAATTATTTAAAAACCCAATAAAACTCAAATCTCTTAAAATTCCATTTTTAATACACCCCTCTAAGTTGTCAAACAACAAACCACATTGATTCTCTATATATGTATATAAATTTTCTTTTTCTTTTTAAGAAGCCCAATAAGCCCAACAACGTTGACAAAGATTAGAAAACCCTAGGGCTTCTTTATATTTATGTATAAAAGCATGAGACAGAGTCAGAAGCTTACATCATCCTTCACTCAAGCTTTTACATCTTTCTCGTAATCAAAGATTCTTATATTTTCTTGTTCTTGTTTTTTTTTTTTGTGGACAGTGACGATTGATATTAAGGTCTCGTTCGTCGTAACAAAGGCCGTAACAAAGCCTATTTGCCGACCACTCTGTTATATCACCACCCATATTCTGAGTCCTTCTCTTATTTGGTTTTGTTCTTTTTCTTGTTGTGTTCTTTTAGGATTTGGCCGATGATTAAATCGATTAAAGACAAGCATATGTCTAAATTAATCCATGTTGATAAGCCTAATCTATTCAATGAGGCCTCTAATCTTGTTTATAATATGTGTTTAGTTAGAAAAAAGGGTCAAGTGAGGATTAATAATGCATAGTTCAGATGATATAATCTCCATGATTACAATTCTGTAGCATAGTCTTTCGCTCCTATCTGATGATCCCTTCAATTTTTTCTTTTTTTAAATCTTTATAAGTTTGGTTTTTTAATCATTGAGAATTGATTTTTGTATTAGAAATTCTTGTTTCTATTGATAAATGTGGTGATTTTATAATCTTTTTGGGTTTTTATTACTCTATTGATTCTCTTATATGAGAATGAAGATACGTGACGTGTTGTTTCGGTTTTTGACAAGTTCGGCCCATATAAGACCATCATTACTAGAGCAACACATGAAAGATACTTAAAATTAAACTAATAATATATTTAATATTAAACTAATAAAATCAATTTATTAGCAATTATACTTAAAATTACATGTCCACTAAGAGAAATATGTGGAGAGAAAAGAAAGAAAATAAAGAAAAAAAACATTATTTTCTATTTACTCAGCTTCCAATTAAACATTGACACGTACCGTTTCTTAATCGTAGCTTCCGCTATTCGGAGAAGAAACGATGCTCCTTATAGTGAGCCCTTTTTTTGTTTTTGTATTTATTTTTACCACACAATATTAATAAGCAACCCATCTACCAATGCCACTGGACATGCTCTAAGAACTTCCTTTTAATAGGCTTTGATTTATTTAAAGCCCAATTAGTTTTTTCTAATATGGGTCTCACACAAAAGCTTTTGCAATGAAATCACACTAGCCTATTCCTATTTTATTCAATTTTGTTCCTTTTTTTTTGGCACATTGAATAACTCTTTGTGTCTTGAAAAAATAAGAAAAAAGTGAGGATATTGGACTTAGTAAATGCATATGTAGAATATTTGGTGGTTTTGTTTTTTTTTTTTATAGTTGGAAAATTATATAGTTCGTGATTTGTTGAGATTTTAAAAGTTTGGATGATTTTTAGAGCAAAACGATAAGAGATCGTAATTTTTTGTTTTAAAACTTACATATTTGAAGAGTTTATTTAATTATTATTAAGATTACATAATATCAGTTTTTATTAAATTAGTATACTTTAAAAACAAGTTGTAGAAGTATGAATTAACAATATTTTATTCTATTGTAACTTACACATTTCGTCCCATTATAGCTTATGTTAGAAGCATATTCCAACCCAATATTTTTCAAAAAAGAATAATTAAAAAAATAGAAAATCAAATCCAATAAGTTAGTCAATTTTAAGTCATAATCGTTACGATTTACAAGTATCAGTGGCATCGGTAAGATATTGACACATGTCAATTATAGATTTATTAAAATTTTTTTTTAAAATGTTAAAAAGTATAAATGTAACATAAAAATGATTTCTACATAAGTAAAAAAGATTAAAAAAAACTAATTCTTTTTGAAATTTTTTATCTTAATATGTTTTAACTTCAAAAAGGAGTTAATTTTTGTTTTTCTGAAAAAAACCATGAATAGGAAATTTGATAATAATATATTTAATGGAATTTAAAATTAAAAACAAAACTTAATATTAGTGAAATATATTTTTAAACTCTGAACTTTTTTTTTAGTAAGAAAAACTTTAAACTAAAATCTATTAATGAACTTAAACCCACGAGAAATTTTATACATGTTAAAGTTTTTATACACTAATTTTTTAAAAGTTTGAACTTTCTCACCAAATCTAAGATAAATGAAAACTGTAATTAACGAAATAGGTGATATGTTATTAATTGATTAGTTGTATATCATCTTTTTTTCTTGGAAAATGAAAAAATTGAATACACAAAAAAGATATGTAAATCACATATCTACATTATATATATGATATAGATATACATAATTTTATAAATACTTCATAATACCACATTATTTTAAATATAGACTTTCAAATATATTTTTGCATATATTTTGCTTAATATTTCCTTTCTTTTAGCATATTTTGCTTAATAATACCTTTAAAGCATATTTTGCTTAATTTTTTTCTTTAATTTTTTTTTTGGTAATATATCTATAGATATTTAATTTTTAACATAATATTTGACATATTTTCAATAATTATGAGAGAAAATAACAAAAATATTAAAAAAGTTATGGTAAGATTTTTTTTAGTAACGTTTTGCCAATTATGTAAGGAGTGTCACATTATTGGAACTGTAGATTTTATTTGTGGTTACGCCTCTACTGTGTTCCAATTGTGTACTATCGTGGCAAGAAAGCCTATGAAAGGCGGATAAATATGAATCACTCGTAGACTGGAGTAAAATATCGGGATTCACATTACATGTGGGGATTGGCGTTATACTATCATATATTCAAAATCACCTTTAAATCACTATAAAAATCTATGATTTTGTTTTTACATCTCAACTAATTTTATTTTCTATTTTTTTTTTGGGCATTTTTTCTGGATTATAAATAGTTTAAATAAAAAAGATATAAGAAGTATTTAAAGTTCAAAATAATTTTCACAAAAAGGTTCAAAATAGCATAAAGAACTTGTTTGGAATTTAGATGTTGAGTATGGAGCATATCAAACACAATTTATATATATGGAGTAAAAAAATTTAAACCAATAATAGCTTTCTCAAAATTTACAAAAAAAAATCAACTTCTAAAAAGTAATCTCCTTAAATATTTCTCATATCATATAATATAATCTTAGTAGCTTTTATTAGTGGTATTTTAGCAAAATATAGATCAGTACTTAAAACAATCTCATACAAACAATTTTGGAAAGTTATATTTAATAATGGAGACTTAAATACAATCTTTTCTTTAATACTGTCAACAACAAAAACATTCTACAACTATAATGACGTGTTTACATTTGTAACCAGAGACAGTATAATAGATGAACAGATTGGTTCTGTTATACATATAGCTTCTTTATACATAACATGTACGTTTAAATTCTTTTATAAACACATCTAAAGAAAGATGTTGTCATGTGCCTGGAAAGGAGCTAGGTGTGGTGCTTTGAAGGATGATGAAAGCGCAAACAACTGAAAGAGAGAATACAGAGACCCAAGTGTTCTCTGTGTACATCTCCATGGCGTCTGTTAACGACAACCTCGTTCTGTTCTCTGCCCAGTTCCTTAGCCTGTCTGCTTCCGCTGCATATAACGCCCGTCCCTGCAAACATATAAACACATCTTTGCGTAAGCGAGTGACCCTGAAGTGAACTTGGCTTGAACACTCTTTAACTACTTACTTGGTCATCGAACCATCGGCCTCTCCTGAGCCAGGAAGTGACAATAGCTAACAATATCCGAGGAGGAGTCAGGTAGTTGACAGCTTTTCCTGAACCTTTTACAACTCGCATGCGTGGTACCAGCGTTCTAGCTACTGTCTCAGGAAGCTCGCATATTATGTTAAACATCTGCTTGTTTTTTATGCTTGAACCGCTGCCAAAATGAAAAGCCAGATCCAAATTCAAGAACCGCATTTAAAGCAATTTAGAGCTTAGTGAGAAAGTGTATAAGCGCATGCATACCTGAGAAGAAGTTCGGTCAGAACCATGCCCGGGGATGCAGTGTGAAGGCCAACGTTCATTTTTTGGCTTTCTTTCACAATAGACCCATGAAATTGCCTGAGTCCGCATTTTGTTGACCCATATCTGCAAAATCTCAAAAAGACTCAGAAATTTTGTTGTAGTTATTTAGAGACATGTATCAAATGCTTTGATTTCTTACACGGCCGTTAGAGGAGTGCTAGAACCCCCAGAACCAGCACCATCCATGTTAAAGATGTGGCCACCATTGTCCTGTCTGCTCATCACATCCATCGCCCCTCGTGTACATAGAATTGATCCAATCAAATTTGTGGAGACAATCTACAAAACATGAATTACAATTAGACTGAGGAACTGCACCATAGGCTCTAGCCGGAAATTTCAATCTTTAGTTTCATAAAGCATTTTACCTGTTTGATATCTTCTTCAGTGAACTCGAGCAGCGGTCTAAAACCTTTGTTAGTACCAGCATTGTTTATCTGTCCAATTGAATAACAACAGTGAGTAAAACATATGAACTACTAAAATACATGAAGTCACAAAACAGAACAATGAATTTATGTTCTTACCCATATGTTGATGGAACCAAGCTC